ACAAAACATGTTAAACTAAATCAATGAAAACTGGTAGATCACATGATGTATAGACCTGTAATAACCTTTTGCCGTTACAGGTCTATATATATATATATATATATATATATATATATATATATATATATATACAAATTTCGGTTGTTGGGTTTAAAGTAACCAGATAAACCCAGTTTCTTCCAGTTCCTTCCAATAAAACATGCTGATTTAATTGATTTGCCAAAACTTTATTAAAAAATGTTCATAATTAAATTGAACCTGATCAACAGGTTAGTCGTAGGAAGGTCTGTTTCTTCCTTCCTGTCTTTCAGCAGCAAATTAACATTAACTTTGAAGTGTTTGAACGTGAAAAGAGTGTTTAAAAAATCTATAGAGTATTTTTTCATACAGTTAAATTCCAAACCCATCTGGGCCTGCAACCTTACCATTAGGGAAAATATTTTATTTGGGGCAGAAAATATTCAGCTTATCGATTATTGAAAGAAGCGCCTTCTGTAGTCTGAAGACTGATTGAAGACACTTTGTTGAGGTTTAATAGTCTGATTAAGAGGATGCTCAGTGTTGTTCATAATATTCTTCCCTTTATGAAGGATGCTTCTTTGTGAAATCATCTCCAGAGGTTCTAGAGGACTTCCTAGAACAGAGTCGGCCTTCTTTATCAGCTTGTTGAACTTTTTTCAGTCATTTGCTCTGATGCTGCTACCACAGCAGGGAAAAACATCTAGTACTAACACTCTCCACACCAGGCTTTTAAAAGATTAATTTATTCACCTAATTGGCCAATGTATGAGTGTTTGAATTGTGCTTGAAGTAAAGAGAATGTGATCTTTAAAATGCAATTTGAAAATAATTAAATACATCTTAAACTCAATCTGGGAGACAGAAAAAAAAAATATATATATATGTAAAACTGTTTCTTTAAAGAAAATATTTAAAAAAGTAATAAAATTAATTTAGAAAAATTTAAATATGAAAAAAAAAATAAGATTTTGGGAAAACGGCAAAATCACTCTAAAATAAAGTTTTGTTTATAGGATTTTTTTCTTTCAAATTTCATTTTTCAAAACTTGTTCTTTGTATTAATAATTGAAGCTCAGGTAGAGCTCAGTTTTAAGGCCAGTACCCTTAAAATTCGACCTCGCCGACTTAGTCTGAGGGCAGGGTTAATGGAAGAATTGGCATGACCATGATGAGCGGAGAGGTCTGTCTCTCATTCCGTACATCAAAAACTATATAAAGACTTTCCACTAGGGCAAAAATAGCCATTTAATCTGATGTTTCAGTTAAGAAATATTAATTAATTACATTCTATTCATATTTTATCTGCATATTTTCATATGTTCTTTCTTAAACTAAAGAATTCCAGGAAGGTCATTTCTTTAGCGTTCAGACTTTAAGGCACCTCTACTTTTTAGCCCACTTTTCTGTTTTCTTTTTCTAAAAAAATCCTTTATATGTACGCTTGTCACTAAAAATAGCTTCTAGTTGTTTTTAATTAGGTGGATGAAGGATTTCAATCATGCTTTTCGTTGTTTTTCTAAATATTTATGTTTCTGAACAGGCATAACCAGAAACTCCTTGCTCTTGCACGGTTAGTAACCTTTCTGCCTGCTGTTCAGGTGTGACCAAGCACATTGATGTGCTGGAACATGTATGATCCAACATGTATGATCCCGCCAAATGAATCTTCAACAGGTGCTCTGACCTTATTTGGCGCTGAGCGTTAGCAGCAAGACTCTCATTCTTGTCCCTGCACATCCCCCAGCACCTTCTCCTGTGCTGCGCTCTCCGCTGCTGGCAGAGGTGAACACATTATCTTGCCTTTCTTATCAGCAGTTATGTTTTTCAGTTTTTTCTTCCTCCTTGTTGACTTTTGGCATGACTTCATTTGAGAAACGTTTATTTCAGAAGATCAGTGATTCCGACGCTCTTCATAGATTTGAATAAATCGACTCTTTCCTCACATTCCTGGTTTGTTTATGTCAGGGATGCATTCATGCACCTTTTAAGGAGAAGCCTGAGAAGCTTTGTGATTTCCAGATATCCTGCAGCTTTAGTTCTGGTTGCGTTCTTAGAGTTGTTGTCCTGCTGGAATGTGAGCAACCTTTGCAGTGTGGCTGCAAACGGGAAGCGTCCCTGCAGGATGCTGCAGTGTGTATGTCCAGCTCATGATGGGCAGCGTTAGCTTCTCTTGGCAAAATATCAGTTTTGATCTCATTCACCTGCCGCCTTCTAAAATGTTGCTGAAAGGACTTCTTCTGGCTTCATTTCAGGCCAGACTGGTTACTATGGGATCAATCAATCCTCGTCTCTTAACTGCCTGTTTGTTTCAGATGGACGTTCATGTATTTGTTTTATTTTAAGATTGCTGTTTTATAAAATCACTGGTCTGTAAACAAACCACAATTTACACCCGTCTGACTGTATTTCTTGATTTTTAGTTCAGCACCAAACCTCTGGGCTCTTCACACAACATCTTATATTGAGGTCAAATTAATTACAGTGGGACTTAATGTACTAATTTAAAAATAATTGGTTGCAGTGATATTTAAATTGAAGGTATATGAGTAAAAGTTTTTTTTTTTCTCATTTGAGGGACATTTTTTCTTTATTTCTTTATTCATAAAATATTTAAGACACTAACATTTTCTTACTTCCTGTATGGAAGTAAATCTGTGTCGCTGGGATTTGAATTAAAAATGCCACTGAAATTTAAATGTTGCATGTTTGTACTTGCTGTTTCACTCACTCAACGGTGAGTTTATTACGTTCATTTTTCTGTAGTTGAGTTAGCGTTAGCTTGCATGACCGTTTCAGTGTTAAGATATATTCAGAACACATTTTTGACCTAAAAAAAAAATTCATTGTCATTGTTTCTACATAGTTGAAATTTCATTTGTTATCTTCTCTTCAAGCTAAAAATTCTCATTACTATTTCAAAGTGATAACATTTTCAATACTTATTTTTCAGTTTAATTTTTCAGTGTTAAAAAAATCTGCATATAAAAAAATTCAACCTTTCAAAATTCAAACTCAATATTTTCAGGATTTGTTTTATTAACATTGGTCTTTGTTCGATCGAGCCGATCTGTCATGGAATTGCAGGACGGTCGGTATCTATTTAGTCGACATCTGACCTCTTAATGGTTTTGTGGTACTTCTAGCAGATGACGCCATATTTATTTACGTCAGCCCATAGCTGGAATTCTATTTAGGTTTGGAAAAGTTTATCCAAACTCTATCAGGAAAGACGTATGAAGCGTATAACCTTATTTTATCAGGATCAAATGATTTTTGGTACTTTTTTTGTACTTTGCACCTTTAAATTCCAGGTGCTCTACTTCAGAAGAATGTTTTCCAGAGGAAGACACTTCCTTGAGAACTTTTTTGTCATACAGATACACAACCAAAAATGTATTTAAAATCATAAAGAAAAACCTTTTTAAAGCCAGAGAACAGCTGCTTTGGGTTACTATGACGTGGAGAGTTGGAAGATTCTGCAACCTGCGGCTCTGGAGCTGCAAGTGCATCTTTAGGCCTGCTGAGCAATCATTGCTAGAGAGATTAAAATGGTCATTTTATTAATCGTTCATTCACAGTATATAACTCTTTACTACTAAGGTAATCAAAGGGCTCTACATAAAATCCCCAATCAGAATCAGGAAAGAGTAAATACAAATCTTAAGTGATATGATGCCTCGTTTGAGTAAGTTAAAACCCATTCTGAGCAAATTGGTTTTATAAG